GTGGGAGCAATCATCAGAAAATGGAAGACATACAAGACCACTGATAATCTCCCTCGATCTGGGGCTCCACGCAAGATCTCATCCCGTGGGGTCAAAATGATCATGAGAACGGTGAGCAAAGATCCCAGAACCACACGGGGGGACCTGGTGAATGACCTGCAGAGAGCTGGGACCAAAGTAACAAAGGTCACCATCAGTAACACACTACAACGGCAGGGAATCAAATCCCGCAGTGCCAGACGTGTTCCGCTGCTGAAGCCAGTGCATGTCCAGGCCCGTCTGAAGTTTGCCAGAGAGCACATGGATGATACAGCAGAGGATTGGGAGAATGTCATGTGGTCAGATGAAACCAAAGTAGAACTTTTTGGTATAAACTCAACTCGTCGTGTTTGGAGGAAGAAGAATACTGAGTTGCATCCCAAGAACACCATACCTACTGTGAAGCATGGGGGTGGAAACATCATGCTATGGGGCTGTTTTTCTGCCAAGGGGACAGGACGACTGATCCGTGTTAAGGACAGAATGAATGGGGCCATGTATCGTGAGATTTTGAGCCAAAACCTCCTTCCATCAGTGAGAACTTTGAAGATGAAACGAGGCTGGGTCTTCCAACATGACAATGATCCAAAACACACCGCCCGGGCAACAAAGGAGTGGCTCCGTAAGAAGCATTTGAAAGTCCTGGAGTGGCCTAGCCAGTCTCCAGACCTCAACCCCATAGAAAATCTGTGGCGGGAGTTGAAAGTCCGTGTTGCTCGGCGACAGCCCCAAAACATCACTGCTCTCGAGAAGATCTGCATGGAGGAATGGGCCAAAATACCAGCTACTGTGTGTGCAAACCTGGTAAAGACCTATAGTAAACGTTTGACCTCTGTTATTGCCAACAAAGGTTATGTTACAAAGTATTGAGTTGTATTTTTGTTATTGACCAAATACTTATTTTCCACCCTAATTTACGAATAAATTCTTTACAAATCCTACCATGTGAATTCATGGATTTTTTTTTCACATTCTGTCTCTCACAGTTGAAGTGTACCTCTGGTGCAAATTACTGACCTCTGTCATCATTTTAAGTGGGGGAACTTGCACAATCGGTGGCTGACTAAATACTTTTTTGCCCCACTGTATGTATGCGTGTGTATATATGTGTATGCGTGTGTATATATGTGTATGTGTGTGTGTATATAAGTGTTTGGCAGCACAAATGAACCAGCTACTAATCGACGAGCGAGACCCAACATGGCTAACTGAAGACAGTCCTGATCAGGACTGGGAGAAATCCCATCCAAATACCGGCAAATAACCTGTCTCAGTACCATATGGAAGCTCCTGTTATAGCGGCTAAGATGAAGAGGCACATGGCTCACAATACATGAGTGGAGCACAGAAAGGAATAGGGAGGGATATCAGAGCAGCAAAACACCAGCTGCTGGTAGAAAGAGCAGTCACGCGATCTGCAAGATCAGACTGACCCTTTGCACTGTCTGGATTGATTACAATAAGGCCTAATTGTCAATGCCATACACCTGGATCCTGGAATGCCTAGAACTATACAATAGCAACAGGACCCTAAGGGTTTTCATCAGGAACTTAATGGGGATGGGATAAATAACACTAGAGGCCAACTTCAAGCCAATTGCACAAGTTGTAATCAAGTATGGGATCTACCAAGGAGATGGCCTGTCCCCACTGCTGCAATGCATAGGCCTGTACCTCCTCAGTGAGATCATGGACAACACTGGCTATGGATACTGACTACAGAATGGAGCAATTGCCAGCTACCCCCTCAAAATGGATAACATCAAACTGTGTGCCAGGAGTGAATGAGACATTGATTTAATGATTCATACAACAAGGATCTAAAGAAATGACAATGGAATGTTGTTTGAAGTGGAGAAGTGTAGTCAGATGGCAACAAAGAGAGGGAAGGTAATCAGAACTGAGGGGATAACACTACCAGAACGCAACATTGCAGACATTGAGGACAGCTGCAAATACCTGGGAATTCCACAGGCAAATGGTAACCACAAAGAGGCCGCTAGGAAAGCTGCAACCTGCAGAGCGTCAGGCAAGTCCTGCAGAGTCAGCTGAATGTTAAGAACAATATCAAGGTTATCAACACCAGGTACAGTGCTGGGATAATAAGATGGGCAAAAGAGGAGATAGAAGCTACTGACATCAAGACAAGGAAGCTATTTAACATGCATGAAGGGTTAACCCAAATCCAACACCCTGATACTGTATGCTAAGTGGAAGGAAGCAGCACAGGGACTAGTGAGTGTCAGAACCACAGTCCAGGATGAGACAAAGTACATCAGGAAGATGGCCACAACTGACTGTGTGCTCAGTGAGTACCTCAGAGGGCAAGAGAGATTTTTTTTTTTTTTAAATAAAAAATGTCTCTCTTTTTCCCGATGTTGCTATAACTTGGCATAACTACATCTATCACTACAGTCATCTTCCTCTGCTTGTCCACCACTACTTTATCTGGTCGGTTACCCATCACAAGTTTGTCTGTCTGCATCTGGAAGTCACACATGATCTTAGCTTAGCAGCTTCTTAGACGCTTCTTAGTAGAAGAAGATAGATGGATGAATGGAACATGGAAAGATTTTTTCCTCAAAAAAAGCACACTTAATTTGCCATAAAGTTCCATTATCTGGGAATAAATAAAAGAGAAGAATTTTTGAGCTGCTACAGAAAGCAGAGCAGAACTAGTTTTAAAAACTTAAAGTCCCTCAGAAGGACAATCAAGTCTCCAGATGGGGCACACTCGTTCGCCCTGCCCAGTCACTCCAAGACAACCAGGTCCTCTGAACTGCCAATTAATGCATATCGCAAACAACAGTCAGAAGGGCTATGTCCACACGTACACAGGTATTTTTGAAAACAGAGATTTTCCTTTTTTATTTTTTTTTTAAAATCCCATCCACACATGCAGTTTTGAAAAAATATCTCTGTTCACATGTAAACGTTAAACACGAAATGTCAAACTGAAAAATAAGTGAAAAAGGGTTCATCACCAAACACATGCTCCTCTCCACAGTGCGGGAGCAATCAATCACCATACACACAGCTCACTAAAAACCAATAAGGCTATCTGGCACTAGAACACATCTTTTTCTGGCCTTAAGTATTCTTAATTGCTGATGGGAGTCAGCTGTACAAAAAAGGTGACACCTAAGGCAGGAGATATAGCAGGACACACCCATAAGGTCAATTTCAGGAGGCGACCCTGCTAGGCTCATAACAAACCATTTATAAAACATGGTGAAAGCTCTGTTATAGTCTAGGGCTGTCATGGTCTGGGTGTGTGCCAGTGTGTCTCCCTCCGAGTTGGCATCTCCACCCCTGGGAGGGGCCTCAGTGTTCTGCTGATTGCTCACACCTGTGGGTAATTTAGCCGGGGACTCATAAGGCCAGCGCACTCAACCTCTCTTCGCCAGATTCTCAGCTAACCCTAGTCAGTGCAGGCCACCACCGTGATTTTGCACTTGCTTTGTGAATTACCTTGTCTCATTGTGTGTTTGTCTCATTGTGCGTTTGTCTCATTGTGCGTTTCTCTCATAGCCACACCAAGCTGCCAAACACTAATCTCTGCCGAAGAGCTCCAACCCGGATACTGGACCACCTGACAGTCCCACAGGCTGTTCACCCGAACCACCTGCCTGCCTCTTTGCCTCCACGCCAGGAGTTTCGGACCACATACCCGGACCACTCACCTCTCCACGTCACCACCGACCACCCGCGGCAAGTACGCAGTACGAAGGAGGATTCTGAATGAACAGCTTATCCATATTTCTCCTTACCCATACCTGAACGTCTGTACTCTATTTACAGTGACCCTTTCCCTGGACCCAGTGTGACTCTCCCTCCAGCCCAATCCCCGGAACTGCTGTTCTCACTGACCAAGACCAGATTGTTTACTTAGCCCAGGCTGCTTAAGACCCCTTTGATTCAGTTGTGGCACTTCGCACTTGTTAACCTCACTTTCCAGTTTATGAAACACTTATTGAGTAATTAAACATTGTCTCTAAAACTACTTAAGTGCTGTTTGGCGTTCTGCATTTGAGTCCTGTCACCTTTTGAAGCGGCCTCGGCCGTGACAGGTGCTGCATTTCAGTCAGTGGTGATGGGGCTCTTGCCCATTCCCTCTTGGAATTAGGAATCTAGAAAAGTATCAGAGGATTTTGATCCCAAATACACGGTCAATGTAGTAAAAGCATACATGGATAGAAAAACAAACAAACAATGAAATCAGTCATGGACTGGGCCTAATAATTATTGAAGTGTTGTGGGATCATCTTCACAGAGAACAGAACAAAAGACAGCTAACATCCAAAGAAGAGCTTTGAATGTCTATCAAGAAGCCTGCAGAAGTACTCCTGCTACTACTTTGAATACTTTAAAAAATACTTAGCTCAGACTGTGTTGAAGAATACATGTGATCATAAAACAGAGCTCGTTAGAATTTTCTGAACAAAATCTAAAGAAATGAGGGGGTTACTCTAGACTAGTACTGCAACTGGTCCTTAATCATTTGTCATAGGAACACTTTTCAAACAATGCGACAACTTTGTTTAAAAATGAATGTATCTAATTTATCAAACTGTTGTTTGGTTTCCTTGTGCAATAAGGTTACAGTAATAATAAAATGACACAAATTTTTCTAAAAGAGACTTTTTTTCTCAATAAATGTTCATTTTCTTTCTTAGAGAAAATCGTTAAGTTGGACCCTGCAAAAATATTGTGAACTAAAAACATGATGAGATTGTTTTTTATTTCATCATGGTAGAAAAGATAGATATAGAAACATAGAATTCCTAAAATATATTAAATTCAAACATTTGAACTGTCAGCAAATCACACGGCAGCAATGTAGAAGGAGGAGTCTTCTCCAACATCCTGCCTTAAATTTTGTAGCTTTCTAAAGCAAGTGCACTTACAGTAAAGGTGCCAATATTATAGTTAATGATGTTTTTACATATCAAGATAGCAAAATGAATACGTCTAGTATAGTTGTGTTTTCTCTGACTGGTTTCAGTGCAACTGTGAACTACAGAGTCACACTTTTCTCTCTCACTTTGCTGTGTTATTTTCTCATTTTGATGGTAAACATATCTCTTATTTTAACTATAATATCAGATCAAAACCTACATGAACCCATGTATATATTTTTGTGTTCCTTGTGTATTAATGGACTTTATGGGACTGCTGGGTTTTTTCCCAGATTTGCCTTTGATCTGTTGTCTGACACACATCTAATCTCATATGTTGGATGCCTTTTGCAAGTGTTTGTTATATATTCAAATGCAAAGGTTGACTACTCTACTTTAGTCCTAATGGCTTATGACAGATATTTGGCCATATGTAGACCACTGGAGTATCACTCTGTAATGTCTGTACGAAGGACTGTGGTGTTAGTCACTCTGTCCTGGCTTGTTCCTCTCTGCTTTGAGACTCTCGTCATAAGCTTAACGTCAACACTTAAATTATGTGGCTCCAACATAAACAAGCTTTACTGTGAGAACTGGTCAATTGTCAAACTTGCTTGTGGTTCAACAAAAGTGAATGACATTGTCGGGCTGATTTTCATCACCTTTTATTGTTGTCATGTTGTCTGCATTGCATGTTCATATGTGCAGCTTGTTAATGTAGCTTTAAAATCTCGAGCAGGTAGGAAAAAGTTCACACAGACTTGTGCGCCACATTTATTTTGTCTGCTGAATGTCACGACTGCTTTGCTTTTTGATCTCATGTTCTCGAGGTATGGATCAGCATCTCTGCCACAGCATTTAAAGAACTTCATGGCCATTGAATTCCTCATCATCCCTCCTATTTTAAATCCAGTTTGTTACGGTTGGGTCCTGACTAAAATTCGAAGGCGAATGATATTTTTGTGTAGGCTAGCATATCAAAGATTCGGTGTAAAAAGCCAATAGTATTAAAAGATTGACACTGATATTCAGATAAAAAAGGAAAGTATGATACATGTTACTAGTATGATAACATTTAACGATGGATGAATGATTGATTTGATTAATGGCCACATAATGTCTCATGTTTCCATTTCATTATAATTAGAGTTCTAAAAGTTCAGTATGGAGTTATGTGATGTAAAAGTATCAAATGTAAATTTATGTAAAGCCATGTCTTATTTTTAGCTATGATTTGAGCATTGTGATGAGAGACAGATGCTTAATTTCTTGGATTCTGGTGAATTCTTAAGCACTACTTTATTATGTGTCAATGTAAAGTACAATATGCACATAATTATTCTTATTTTTATCTAAAAGTAATGTGCATGTCTCATCTATTCATGAATTCATTTATTAAATGCTGGACATTAGCTCACATGTGCATCATCAACATTTGTTCAAAAGATATCTGTCTGTGTACAAAGAATCAAGCACATCTCAGCTACCGTACTTTCTCAGCTACAGTCACACTGTAAAAAACTGTGGCTGGAGACAGTGACACAACCGAAACAATGTACAAATAGTTTGTAATGTCTCCACTTTTTAAGTGGTCGGCTTGAACAGTCGTAACAATAGGGACCAGGTCCGAAACCAATACCGGTCAGTTTCCGCCTTTAAAGCACTTTGATGAATAAAGGCGGTGATAAAATGAGGATTAAACAGCAAAAACAGAGAGTCTGCTATTGGTTTCACATTTAACATATCAAGATGGCATTTGTGATAAAGATATAATATGTTGCCTTTCTTGAAAATCCGTTGCTAACTGCATCAGATATGTAGTACTATAGGGCCGGACTCACAATGTTGGACAACACAGAATTCACATATCACACACACATCTAAACAAGGACCATTTATAATTTGTAGATTTATAACCAAACAGATGCAAATAGTTTATTTTAGCTTTCTACTGACAACAGCATGAATCTGTCACTGAAAGGGCATGGGTAATGTAGTCATAAAAAAGGCAGATTACAGTACTTTTGCTTTTTCTCAGTCTCTCTGAATCTCAGGTGGAGGTTTGCAGGAGAAAAATTGCCGAGTAATAATCAAGCTCCCTCGTGCTCCTGAAAACGGCTCATGTGCTCCTTCTGCTAATGTTGCTTTTCTCTCTGCCTTGAAGTCACCTTGGTAGTTATCTGAAGACTTCCTTACATGTTCAGTACCTTAAGAATCTCCTGGATTCATGGAACATTCCTAACATTGCAACCTCCCCACTGCTGCCTTCATGTAAAATTTAGATGCAGCTTCTGGGTCTGAATAGTTAAGTGCTTTAAATCTGCATTATTTTTAATAATGGCCACCAGGAGGTGATACCTGTGGTTGCAAAAAGACATTTACATGCATGTGGGGAAAAAAGCTCCTCAGACTTGACTCTAAACACTTCCCTGCTTAGCTTAGAGTCTCATTGATTTTTGGGTCATGTTGAATAAAATTAAATAAACTTTGTATATCCCCTGTTTCAGAAAGAAGGGATATTTGGGCTATTCTCAGTCAGAGTCAGGCCTGTTCCTATCTTATCACATCTGGTTTCAAAACCAAGGTAGTGATTGGACTGGTGATGGGGGAAATGTCAATCCCAAGGCTTTAAAATGGGACTGAATGGTAAATGTTAGCTGTATCCATCTTTTATTCTGCTTGTTGACACTGGTATTTTTAAATTTTTAAATTTTAAATTTTCTTCATAACTAAAAAATGTTTTCATGTAGCCATTTTGTCACATCTCATTAGTGCTTTCTAAGTAAATTGCAGCCAGTTTTAGTACAGTGGGAGTGAACGCTGGTCTGTAGGTAGGCCCTAGTGTGGCGGTAGCTGGTGAAATGAAACTGTACTCCTAAGGTTGTCTATTTAATGTTTTTTCTCTTTGCTGGTCTCAACGTTTCGCTCATATAATACACAAAACCTATTTAAAAGATTAATTTGTTATATTGTATTCAGTGGTAACGACCAGGTTATGTATTTGAGGCCATTATTCTTTGACAATGGGACTGTGTGTGCAGTCTAAGTCCATTGCAACTAACATGGTGGTAAGTAGACAAGTAGAGGCTGCCCACCTAGTCAGAAGTTGTTTTTTGTGTTGATTTTGCAATAACTCAATAAAATCCTAAATATCTACATTTTTGTTGCTCTTTAGTTTCTTTATCAGGGAAACCTCACCTGTCCTTTCTTTGATTTTTGGCCCAGTTTATTCTGTACTAGAGAAAGGTTACATGAGACTGGGATGCATTTTTTTCATTCTTCCATTAAGGAGATATTTCTCCATTAAATACTATTACCTCTCTCTTGCTTCCTCAAAGGAAAACACTGTAAGGTCTTGTAATTAGTCAGTGACAAACATTTGTCTATTTCAGTGTTACTGGCTGTTTACAAGCTGAGAATATTTTCATTTATGAAATAAACTCTAGTAAACATTATTTTTGACTGTTATTTTCAGTAGAGATGATTCTTGTACACACTGTCCTGAGGTTTATTTCAATAAAAATAAATTTACAAATAAGAAAATATTTTTATTTGTTCCTTGGTGTTAATGTTACTGAACTTGTAGCAGAGAGTTTGGCCCACAGCTACATCAGCCTGGAGACTGCTGCTCCCTAAGCATCACACACACTTAATGTCCTGGGGATAAAAGAGTGCCCTGGACTAATGGTCATTAGTCCAGTAATCATCATGTTTACTTGATAATCTTTTATTATATTATTATCGTCTGTTAGTAATAGCATGCTAATCACGTTTGCAGGGAGTTGTCTCAAAAGAAAGGTCTCCAGAGAAGTTTTTTTTTCTTTCAACAAAAACACACAACTCAGTCATGCATGATGTTTGCTTTACTTTTATTACATACTTGCATTACATACCATTTTAATAGTACAATCATTTAAAATAATTCACCAAAACAAAGAATATTGTAACCATAAATATACATTAATTAGTGTGAAAATGTATCTTTCAACATATTCATAAACGCTTATAAGCTCTGAATTGATACATTAAAAATATACAGGAGTGAGCACTGTTTTGTGGAGGCCACAAATCGACCAGATGGAGTTTGCCATTTTGCAAAATAACATTTTATGTATATGGCTAAAAACCGGCCGCATATGTAGTAGACTAAAGATGGAGCAGATGTCATAGGTTCCTGAGGTGTGATTTTATTTCATGCTTGCACCTTCAGACCTAAGATGTGGAGGATCATACCTATGTTTGAGAAGGGTTCCCTTTCACCAAAGAAGCAAAAACATGCAGGAAACATGCCACACTACAGTCATCTTAATAAAATGTCATCTTCGTCTTCTTCACCTCATTCGTCATCTCATGAATGGAATCAGGGCTCTGACACACAAAAATGTGAATAAATGTGCTACTTTATTTCTGATATTGTCATTATTATTGATTCTTAGCCAATTAAACATGCGACCCTTCAGAATTCTGGCAACAAGCCAGATAAACAAAAATAACTGGGCTTTACTTGAGTGAGCAAAAGGTGTCCCACAGGGTTCTATTTTGGGATCAGCTTTATTTTCTGTTTTATACATGATTTGAGTAAAAGCTTTCTAGAAAAAATAAATCTTTATGCTGATGACACTGTCATATAAACATTTGCACCTTCTGTAGAGCAGGCAGTGAATTATTACAATCCATTTTTCTGCATTTAAAATTGGTTTTAAATGTTCATAAAACAGAATTTATCGTGTTCTCGAAAGCTCACCCACGGATGTTTGATGATCTTAGCGTTGGTACAGATGTTGGCAAAACCATTGAAATGGTACATGCCTACAAATATTTGGGTATAAAGTTTGATGACAAGTTTCTCTCTAATGTACACATTGCTAGTCTTATTATGAAAATTAAAGGGAAAAATGTTTTTTACTTTAGAAATAAATCTTTTTACCCTTTTGCCTGTAATTGATTATGGTGACACACTGTATGTTTCCTCTTCAGTTCTCAGTAGTCTTCATGTAGTCTATAATGCATCACTATGTTTTATCATAAAGTCTCTGACCAGCTGCGACCCATTGTAAGACCACATCTGGATCCCCTTCAGTTCGCTTATCAGCCTCGTCTCGGAACTGAGGACGCCATCATCTACCTGCTCAATCG